AATGCACGTACGAGGCTTAAATTGCTTCGAGATCTCATTGCTGTGTGTTGGGTATTATTCTCGAAGGTTACTGCACGAAAACTACCACATTTAGGTACCTTACCGTTTAAAATTAATTCACTTGCATCGTTTATGGCAAGAGTGAATCACTTTTATCAGGCAGTAATGGCAAAGAGAGGAAGAACTACAAAATCAAATTTGTTCAGTCCAATTCCTTTTTACTGATTTTCAGTTTCCAGATGTACGTGTTCGATTTTATGCATTCATGAATTTACACTAGTCGTATGTGTACTAAATCCCTCTCACATATGGAGTTGAGTTAACTTTTCTTTTGAATTGAGTTTTCTTATACGTAAGCGGAATTTATTATGTTGGTTTAAAGGTATGTTGTTAGTCTTAAGCTCTCACGCGATTTTCTCATTTGACGTTAGCTCGATTTCACGTGATATTTCTCTCATTCTTTCTGACATGATGAACCTTCATTTGCTTGTTATGTATTTTCAAAAGGGGTAGAGTATGCATTTTAGGTCAGCTGCAAGATGAGCACTTGATGCAGCGCTTACGTTCCGAGCAATTCGATCTTGGAGTCAGCGAAGTGGTTCGCGAGTGCGGTTTTGCGATTTTTAACAAAATTGGCTTAGAAAATTACGTCGGCGTCTTAGCTACAAATTTGCTGGAATATTTCACAGACCCATTTGGCGTAAGCAGCAATCCGAGCCATGTTCCTTGTTAGTTTATTCTTTAAGATTTTGAATTTTGCCGGTGGATATAGTTTTGTCGTTATCTATGTTATTCAAACAACAGCAGTGGTTACGATTTGGCTTGAACGGAAACTAACTTTTTTGAAAATAGAATGGATTTGTTTATTAATGCTTCTATGGTAATCAGTTTTGAAACAGCCAGGTAGCGTTGAATTTCGAAAACTCAGATCCTTCTCATGAACATTATTGAAATTTCAGCAATGTTCAGTCTTCATGCAGATACAATGAACTATAAGGAAAGAGCGGAGAATTTGCTTGATTATTTGGTAATGTATGCGATTGGCAGATTGGTTATAGCGCCTCTCAATGGCATTTATGAGAAGTGCGTTGGCCACCGTTTTAATACTTTGGCAAGTTCATTTGCCCTGTACAGTAATTTCTCATTTTAAGTGTACAGCTGAAAAAATTAGAAATAGTTCATGGAACAGCTGCGTGTAACATCTGTTCAAAATAGTAAGGCAAAAAGGATACTTTTCAAACTGGTTCGGCACAAAAGATCTGATTTCCGGCATCTCATCGGAATCACAGCATTGAAGTGATTGCTTCCAATATTTTTTTTTATAATCATGGTCCAATTTTTGCAGGAAGCAGTCGGCAGAAGTTCATTTATTTTCGTCAATGCTGATGAGTTGCTTGATTTTCCGCGTTTAACCAGTCAAAAAGTCATTTACGTTGGTGGGATTGCTGTTCCAAAGCCTATGCCATTGAAAGATGTAAGTAGAGAGAGTGGTTTCTCAAATCGTAATACTGCTTTGTTTGCTTGTTTTGGATCCGAGGCTGTCTACTTTTTTCTCACTTGTAAATAATGCAGTTGCAGGAATATTACGAAATAATGGAGAAACGTAAAGAAGGCGTAGTGCTTGTAGCTTTTGGAACAGTTGCGCAGAGTTCCAGTATGAGCTTAGAGATGAAAAATGCTTTTCTCGCACTGTTTCAAACTTTCCCAAAGGTAAAGTTTTCTTGCCAATGTGAAATTTCTTTTTTTTGTGCAGTCTTTCAGATTTTTTGTTGTTTTTTTTTAGATAACATTCATTTGGAAGTATGAAGAAGAAAATGGCTCTACAGTGCTGAACCTTGGAAATCTTGTAGTAAAGAATTTCGTACCTCAGAATGATCTTTTGCGTATGTTACTTTTGCGTATTTTCCTGTAAAAAT